GGAGGGGTGGGGGGGGGGCAACAACTATAGCCCCAGAGATACAAAGATTACCAAGGCGAGAGCAGATGAAAAAAGAAATAGAGTGACTAAGTGACAAAGACAACAGGCTTTTTAGGGCGATGAAATACGACGCAACACCGGAACCAGGTCGCACACCGGGTGTTCTGGCAATTTCCGGTCACGGTCACCTGAACAGCCGTCTACATGTCAGGAGATGACCTAGATTGACCAAGGACTGAGGCTGGTATATGTATTCTGTAACTGGCCGCTTTTAAGGACAAGCAGGCTAACCCAGATTTCGGGGTTTTCCAGAAATCTTGACCTACACCAAAAGTGGGCATTTTCCTACCTATTGGAGAAGTTTGGTTTCATTGGTGTGTATATTTGTTTGGTTATAGAGAAACCTCTCCTTGTCTTTTAAAGAAACTGAACTAAAGGCAAAAACTTGACATTCGATTTTCTCAGAACAGCAATTTTTGGGATGGCCCCCTTGTGCTTAGGAGACGTGAAGTCCTCACTTAGCCTTACACTTTACGCAAGTGTTTGGTTTAGTTTTAGTAAGGTTTTACGGCGCTCGCAACTTCATAAGGTCATATGGGCGCCAAGAGGTGGACGTCAACAGAGAAATCCAAACGGAGAATCAGATTTACTCTGCTCACCTCTCTAGCCTCAACAGCACAAAGTCTGCTTCGACTACCAAGGCACCCCGGAAATAGCAGTTCTCAAGAGAGCATCAAAAAATACAAAAGAAGTGGAGGAAAAGTGAAGAAAGTAAGGAGGAAGAAAGAAAAAGCAGCAGTTCCCCCTTTGTTGTTCCGGCACATTATGAGCATGGCGTTGATAAATTAGCCCATTTAAATTAATGCTACTTTGCATAAGAACATGTTAATATCCAACCTTTGTGAATGGCCTAAATACAACTCACGTCAATGTGAATATTTTATTCCATTTATTTTGACTTTTTAAGACCATGATGGGATAGGGCGCATCTTCAAGTTATATAGAAACTTTGATACATTTTGGAATCACTTGCTATGGTAGCAATCTGGGGAGGCAGCACATTATAAAACTAAATAAGTGGATAAAAAAGGCATCAAGAACAATTGGTAGAGACCTAAGTAACTTTGAATATCTGCACAAGACAAACGTTCTAAAAAAGGCGGAAATAATGCTTAGTGACCATAGCCACACACTGACATTTGAATTTCAACTATCGACCCGCAGTGAACGATACATTTCCAAAAAAGCAAGAACAGACAGATA